GTAACCCTCTGTATAGTATCTTTACAATAAAAAAATTTTTTTAAAAAGTTACAAAGTAAATTCAATTTTTCTTTTGGGGGGTCAGTCATGGGGCCTGAACTCTGGGCTTGGGCGCTGTCCCTGAGCTCTTCAGCTCAAGGCTAGCACTCTACCACTTGAGCCATAGCACCGTTTTCGGCTTTTTCTGCTTATGTGGTACTGAGGGATCGAACCCAGGGCCTCATGCATGCGAGGCAAGCACTCTACCACTGAGCCACCATCCCAGCCCAGTAAATTCAATTATTTGTGCCAAAGCCAAATGAAATCTGAGAGAATAAAGAACAATCAAATGTGTCAAATAGATAATCTTGGGGAAAAATAACTACCTTTTTTGTCGAAGGTGGTTTCACACACCAGCATTTCCCCAGGACCCCAGTCAAAACACATTTGCTTCTTCTTAGAATTCATACCTGGAATCAACTAGTAAAAGATAAGACACAGAACATATTATTACTAACAGGGCAGTGGTGGCTTACCTGTGTAATTCTAGCTACTCAGGAGGCTAAGATGGGTGCAGCAAAGTCCAGGAGAGTCTTCGGGTTGTTGTTTTTTTTCTGCTTATGTGGTGCTGAGGAATTGAAACCAGGGCCTCATGCACGCAAGGCAAGCGCTCTACCACTGAGCTACCTTCCCAGCCCAAGTCCAGGAGACTCTTATTGCCAATTAGCCACCAAAAAAGCTGGAAATAGGGATTGGTGATTTAGCTCATTAGAAGACCACCTCCCTAGCATGTGCAAGGCTCTGCAAAAACAAAAACCACCACAACAAGAAAGGAAGTGTAGCTGTGGCTCAAATGGTAGAGGCCCAGTTTTGAGCAAAAAAAGCTCACAGACAGCATCTAGACCTGGAGTTCAAGCCCCAGGACCAACACACACACACAAAAAAAAAAAGCCGGGCGCTGGTGGCTCACGCCTGTAATCCTAGCTACTCAGGAGGCTGAGATCTCAGGATCGCGGTTCAAAGCCAGCCCGGGCAGGAGAGACCGCGTAAGACTCCTATCTCCAATAAACCACCAGAAAACCGGAAGTGGCGCTGTAGCTCAAGTGGTAGAGTGCTTGCCTTGAGCTGAAGAGCTGAAGGACAGTGCCCAGGCCCAGAGTTCAAGCCCCACGACCGACAAAAAAAAGAAAGAAAGAAAAGAAAACAAAGTGTTCTTACAACTAAAGGCTTTTCATTTCCATCAACTTGCAAATAGCATCCTAGAAATCAACAGTGATGAAGGTGGTGCTAGTCTAGGGCTAAGGAAGAGTCTCAAATACCAGAGTAAGAGTGAGCCACTTAGTTCAAACTCCAGTAGGTGGTCAAAAAAGAGCCTAATCTACATGTGGGTGATTGTGTGCATGCATGCATTCATGTAGCTGAGACTACTGACCCCACGACCGGACCAAAAAAAAAACAAACAATTATTGCATTAGAATTTAATGATCTAGGGCTGGGAAGGTGGCTCAGTGGTAGAGTGCTTGCCTTGCATGCATGAGGCCCTGGCTTTTTCTGTCTATGAAGTACTGAGGCATCAAACCCAGGGCTTCATGCATGCTAAGCAAGCACTGTACCACTATGTCACATTCCCAGCCAACCCAATCAACATTCTTACATAAGTAGAAAAAGGAATAGAGAGATGACTTGTGGCTGGATAAAGTGATAGTAGTGATTCTAATATTTTAAGTTTCTGAAAAACAAACCTCACTTCAAGATGGCTCAGACTTGTAATCCTGGCTATTCAAGGAGGCTAAGATCTGAATCCTATGAGACTCTTACCTCCAATTAAGCACCAAAAAAAAAAAATCAAGTGGAGCTGTGGCTCAAATGAAAAAGCTAAAGGACAGAGGCCTGGCACCATTTAAACTATTAACATCAGGCATATCTAATAGTTTGTCCTTTTTCTTTTAAAGTTCATTTTAGTATAACAAGGTTAGAGTAGGGAAAAGCAATTCACTTTTAATTACCTAATATTAGCATTTTACAGTAAGTGAGCCTCGTAGGAGATAACCCCCACTAACTGCTTTTTTTGTGTGTGTGCCAGTCCTGAGGTTTGAACGCAGGGCCCTGTCCTTAAGCTTTTTTTTTTTTTTGGTCGGTCGTGGGGCTTGAACTCTGGGCCTGGGCGCTGTCCTTCAGCTCTTCAGCTCAAGGCGAGCACTCTACCACTTGAGCTACAGCGCCACTTCCGGTTTTCTGGTGGTTTGTTGGAGATAGGAGTCTCAAGGGTCTCTCCTGCCCGGGCTGGCTTTGAACTGCGATCCTCAGATCTCAGCCTCCTGAGTAGCTAGGATTACAGGCGTGAGCCACCAGCGCCCAGCTCATCCTTAAGCTTCTTTTGCTCAAGACTAGCACTCTACCACTTGAACCACTTCCAGTTTTTTCTGTGTATGTTATATTGAGGAATCGAATCCAAGGCTTCATGCATGCTAGGCAAGCACTCTACCACTAAGCCACATTCTCAGCCCTACTAACTGCTTTTAAGAAAGGTCTCATGTGTCATTTTTGCCTAGTAAGCTTTGACAGTAACTTCATTTTCACTTTTTGGTGTTTTTTTTTAGCGTAATGTGTACTTTATACAACCACGTGTGATCTTTTACAAACAGAACCAGAAATTCACCAAATCTGTCCTTTTGATTTTATCACTGCTTTATAATCTGATAACTCTAATTTAAAACTGGAGGTATTTCCACTTTCTAAAATCGCCCAACACACACACACACACACATGAGGGAAAGTAACTTATGGGAAATTATTTGGCTTACTGAGGAGGTCAGGAAAGACATTTGAAAAACAAGAATATAAAAGCGAAGAGGACATTCCAGACAGCCAGAGCGATAGATCAAGGCCTAACGGCAGATAAAGCCCAACTAAAGCCCAGGAAATCCAGTGGCACCTCAGAGAGGAAGACGGGGGAGGAGGGGTTAAATACAGAGCAACCGAATAGGAAGTCTCGGATGGAGCAAGTGGCTCTGACACACCTCCAGACGGCACCAAGACCGAGGCCAGGCTGACGGTGCAGCGGGCGGCTCTTAGTGCAGCTGTGAGGGGAGGGACACTTTTCTTAGTCCGAGCCCATTCTAAGGTTCTAAAGGAGAATCGAGGGGCGCAGAGACACAAGGCAGGGGCGCGATGGAGTGGGGCTTCCGGGGCGGGACCTGCGAGTGCACACAGGAGCGGAGACCGGGCGGCCACAGCGCCGCAGCCGCGTTCCGGCCTGGGCAGCGAGGCCCCCGCCGTGCCCCCCCACCCCCCGCCCCATCCCCACCCCCGCTCCGGAACTTTGCCCCAGCCTGAGAAGAGCTCAGACCAGCGCACACGCGGCCGGCTGGGCGCGGCGCACCCGCAGTGAGAAGCACGCGCGGTCCTTGAACTCGGACAAAGCATCCAGTCCGTTCGGGGCGCACTTACGGTGATGGTGGGCTCGCCGTCAAGCTCCTCCATAGCGCCGCGCCCCGGAAAATCTACACCTCGCGGGGCTACAGAGGCTCCGGAGTCGGGGTTCCCGCTCAGAGTCAGCTGCGAGAGAGGACCCCGCCAGGGCGCCTTCTGCAGCGCCTGCAGACCCAACCTTACACCGCACTGCAGAGGCCTCTCATCTGCGCCAGCACCGCTCCTCTGCGACCTCGGAGACCAGGCTCCTTCCTAGCCCAGACACACGCCAGGGGGAACACAGCTTCTGGAGCCATCAGTGCTTGCAGGAACTTTTTCATCCGATCAGGCGGTGCTGAGGACAGCCCCGCGCCACTCAGGGAAAAGGCCTCAGACACTCCCGGGGGCAGTCCGGCGGGCCGGGCCGGGGCTGTGCGACTGCGCCTGCGCCATCGGAGGCGCTGCCTCTAGCGCGGAGGTCAGCCGAGCCTCGACCTCTGTAGGTCCAGCACTGTCCTCGTGTCGATCTACCCCTTTCTGGTGTTTGGCTTGCTGTGGTTGCACCCGGGTCGCACTACTGTTTGTGTGTGCATCACTCCCGCCCCCAAACACTGGAAGCACACGCGGTGGTGTGGTTGTGAAATTGAGACAGCTGGGCTTGCTTCACTAAGCATAAATGATGGTTCTGTAATCTCTCCTGGCAAAAACAGAACAAAGCACTCGAATTAGGGAATCCCTGGCCGACTGTGTGGAAAAATAAGAGCTGTTCAGAGAACTTAATTTTTTAAGTAACAAATAGCACGTAAATAGAAACGTTCTGAAAGACCAAACAACCCTTTTAACTTGTTTTGGTTTTAGATTTGGTCTTCCTATGCAGTCCCAGCTGTCCTAGATATATGGAGTGTGTGTGTGAACTCAGGGCCGGGGCACTGTCTCTGAATTTCTAGCACTCTACCACTTGAGCCACAGCACCACTTCCGACTCTTTATGTGGTGCTGAGGAATGGAACTCAGGGCTTCATTTCATTCGTGCCGGATAAGAACTCTACCCTAAGCCACATTCCCAGCCCTGTCCTAGAATCTGATTATTTGGCCTCAGCCTCCTAAGTGTTAGTATTCTAGGTATGCACTATTACACCCAACAAAACTGTAAATGAATATTAAATTTATGTGTGGGGGGGGGCGGTGCTTGGAATGTGGCCTAGTGGTGGAGCGCTTGCCTAGCATGCATGAGGCCCTGGGTTCAATTCCTCAGTACCATATAAGCAGAAAAAGCCAGAAGTGGTACTATGTCTAAAGTGGTTGAGTGCTAGCCTTGAGCAAAAAACAATTCAAGGAAAGTGCCCTGGCCCTGAGTTCAAGCCTCAAAACTGGCAAAAAAAAAAAAAAAAAAAGTCTCACAGACTTGCCTGTCTGGGCTGGGCTGGCTTTGAACATTGATTCTTTTATTTCAGCCTCCTGAGTAGCTAGGATTGATTACAGGTATGACCCACCCTGCTAAAATGTCTCTCATTAATTTTTTTATTTTTTTTGAAAGTGTGACTCAAGTGGTGGAATACCAGCCAAGCAAGCCCAAGGTCCTGAGTTCAAATCCAGATATAGACCAAACAACAGCTAAAAGAAAAGAAAAAACAACTGAGGAGTACAATTCTAAATGTGACAAGCCATCTTAGCCTGAAAAGCTACTCCAGTCCTGTTGCTCACACTCTCCCTAAACTTAAGAATTGCTGGGTGGGCCCAGGTAGCTCACACCTGTAATCCTAACTACTCAGGAGGCTGAAATCTGTGGATCTCAGTTCAAAACTAGCTTGGGCAGCGATGTTCAAGAGACTCTTAGCTTCAATTAACTACAAGAAAAGCTGGAAGTAGAGTTATGGCTCAAGGAAAAAACAGCTCAGGGGTAGCACCCAGGCCCTGAGTTCAAACCCCAGGACTGGCACAAAAAAAAAAAAAAAACTTCAAAATTATCTAGAGTGCTAACTCTAAATCACAAATTCTTGAGCCTAGTCCCCAGAGTTTCAAATTCCATTAAGTCTAGGGTAGGACCCGGTATTTGCATTTCTAACAAGCTCTTTCAGGAAGTTGTTGTCTGGTGGGGCTACACCCTTTGAGATCCAGCAGCCAAACTCAACTATTCCAAGAGTATAATCCTTCACAAAGAAGACCTCCAGCTGGGTTTCCCTGCTCTGTCCTCCAGGTGGAAAAGTCCTAAGAATAATCAAAAAAAAAAAAACCGGAAGTGGTGTTGTGGTTCAAGTGATAGAGCAGTGGACACCTTGATTGAGCTGAAGAGCTTGGGACAGTGCCCAAGCCCAGAATTCAAGCCCCACAAGCAACAAAAAAGAAAAAAGGAGGACTGGGAAGGTGGTTCAGTGATGGAGCACTTGCCTTGCATGCATGAGGCCCTGGGTTCGATTCCTCAGCACCGCACAAGCAAAAAGAAAAAAGCTGGAAGTGGCGCTGTGGCTCAAGTGGTAGAGTGCTAGCCTTGAGCTGAAGAGCTGAGGGACAGCGCCCAGGCCCAGAGTTCAGGCCCTACCACCGGACATCCCCCCCCCAAAAAAAAAAAAGAAAAATAAGAGGCCCTCTAATTAGCCATAGTCATGGAGCCTCTCTTCCAGTTCCCTGCTTGAATCTTGTGGACAGAGTTGTTGTTGGAATGGGGCATTGGTAGAGTTAGAGAAACTTGAATTTGTCATACCACTGTGGAGGCTGAATAACTTATCAGTATTGGGAAGGACTCTACAGGCATAGTAATCCCATGACAAGTTCTATACAAAATATTAGCACCAATAAAAGGTACAGTCCCTAGGCCATCCCTGAATTTAAGGCCCAGACCAGTACATACACACAAACACACACACACACACACAGGATGATCTCCAGCAACATCATTAGTAGGTATTAGGTACCAATAAGGCTCACCCTGCAATCCTAGTTACTCTGAAGGCTGAGGATCATCATGGTTCAAAGCTAGCCAGGGGGGGCTGGGAAGGTGGCTCAGTGGTAGAGCACTTGCCTTGCATGCATGAGGCCCTGGCTCGATTCCTCAGTACCACATAAGAAAACAGAAAAAAGCCGGAAGTGGCGCCGTGGCTCAAGTGGCAGAGCATGAGCCTTGAGCTGAAGAGCTGAGGGACAGCGCCCAGGCCCAGAGTTCAGGCCCCATGACTGGACCAAAAAAAAAGTCTCACAGACTTTGTGCCCTAGCTTTTTTTTTGGGGGGGGGGGCGTCCGGTCGTGGGGCCTGAACTCTGGACCTGGGTGATGTCCTTGAGGTCTTCAGCTCAAGGCTAGCACTCTACCACTTGAGCCACAGCGCCACTTCCGGCTTTTTTCTTTTTGCTAATGTGGTGCTGAGAAATTGAACTCAGGGCCTCATGCATGCAAGGCAAGCGCTTTACCACTGAGACACCTTTCCAGCCCTGTGAGACTCTTATCTCCAATTAACCAACAAAAAGCTGGAAGTGAAGCTGTGGTTCAAGTCATAGTAATACCTTTGAGCAAAAGAGCTAAAGGACAGTGCCCAGGCCCTGAGTTCAAGCCCCCCAGTATCAACATGCACACACAGATGCAAATGAGGAAGAAGAAGAGGAGGAAGAGAAAAAGGAGGAGGAAGAAATAATAAGTTATTATCATTAATAAGTCAACAAACCTTGCTGGGCAGTGGTAGCTCACACTTGTAGTCCTAGCTCCTCAGGAGAGGATGAGAACTGAGGATTACAATTTTAAACCAGCCCAGGCAGGAAAAGTCTGTGAAAGTCCTATCTCCAATAAATTGCTCAGAAAAAGCCAGAAGAGGGCTGGGAAGGTGGCTCAGTGGTAGAGCACTTGCCTTGCATGCATGAGGCCCTGGGTTCGATTCCTCAACACCACATAAGCAAAAAGAAAAAAAGAGCCGGAAGTGGTGCTGTGTCTCAAGTGGTAGAGCGCTAGCCTTGAGCTGAAGACCTGAGGGACAGCACCCAGAGTTCAGGCCCCATGACCGGACCCAAAAAAAAAAAAGAAAAAGCCAGAAGAGACACCCTGGCTCCAGTAATATAACTCTAGCCTTGAGCAGAGAGAGGCTCAGGGACAGAGCACAGAGCGTAGGCCAGAGTTCAAGCCCCAGGACTACAAAAAAAAAATTATTATTATTATAAGTAAATATATATATATAATAATTATCAGCTCTAGGAACCATTTGAACCATTCTGCCTTCAGATTTCCTGTAAAATGGAAGAATTCAGTATTCAGTACTCCAGCAATACTCAAAGATAGCTTAAGAACCCATATGAACTCTGTTAGATGAGAGAGAAACTTGAGGGTATAAGCTTTGTACTTGATAGCAATTTAATATTTTACAATTTATTTATTTCATTTCTTTTCCTTCCTTCCTCCCTCCCTCCCTTCCCCCCCCCCACTTTCTTTCTTTCTTGTTTTGTGCCAGTTCCAGAAATTGAATTTCGGACTTGGGCACTGTCCCTCAGTTTTTTGTTTGTTTGTTTGTTTGTCTGTTGCTGTCCCTCAGCTCTTCAGCTCAAGGTAAGCCCTCTACCACTTGAGCCACAGCGCCACTTCCAGTTTTCTGGTGGTTTTTTGGAGATAAGAGTCTCAAGGATTTTCCTGCCTGGGCTGGCTTTGAACATAAGACTGGCACTATACCACTTGAATCACATCTCTACTTCCAGACTTTGGCTAAGGTTAGTTAGAGATCTGTCTGCTCTGCGTGGCTTCAAATCAAGATACTCAGATCCCAGCCTCCTGAGGAGCTGGGATTACTGATGTGAGCCACTACCACCGTATACCCTTTAGGTGTTTGTTTTTTGTTGGTCATGGGCCTTGAACTCTGGGTCTGGACTCTGTCCCTCAGTTCTTCAGCTCAAGGCAAGAGCTCTACCACTTGAGCCACAGCACCACTTCTAGTTTTCTGATGGTTCATTGGAGATTAGTCTCACAGACTTTCCTGCCCTGGCTGGCTTTGAACCATGATCCTCATATCTCAGCCTCCTGAGTAGCTAGGATTAAAGGCATGAGCTGCTAGCACCCAGCTAGATCCAATACTGTCTTTTTTGTTGTTGTTGTTGGTCATGGGGCTTGAAATCTGGGCCTGGGCGCTATCCCTGAGCTCTTTAGCTCACGGCAGTGCTC